CGCATTTCCGCGTTTGCTGTACGGCGGAAATTGAAAAACAGACTCCAGGCATGCGTTTGCCATTTAAAGACTGCGTTTTACACTATGGAGTTATTAGATTAAGTCAAAGATGGCTCTACCTTCGAGCACGATTGAATCCACCAGATTCTAGATCCCACCGGACAGAACCGCACTGCCACAAGCTGGTTTCAGACTGTCCATGTTATCGCCACACTGAGAAGAGCTAAAAAACATCGTTACATATTCATTTTATAGTTTTCGCAGCTTCCCGCAGTTTCCGCAGCCTTTCCGCAAAGGGCCTCCCGATTACGAAAAGTTTCCGCAGACCTGGTCAAGTTTCGGCTCGTTCCCTGCGGCCGGTAATATGTCGGCCGACCTCAGGACTGACTGCCTGATCATGATGTTTCACAATGACAACTATTATATAACATTGGATGACAACCAAAGGCATCCATTTAATTAAGACCTGTCGTCGACTTGCGTGTGTGCTGCCAGCATTCGCCCCTTCTCCTGTACTCATCTACAAGCCAAAGAGGCCAAGACATAGGTACTTATTGCTTATTCCTTGCGTGTGTGATGCTAGCATTAGAGACCTTAAGGTTGAAATGCTTCCCGAGATACCACGATACTGTAGGTTGCTAACGTTTACATTTTTAGAAGTATCCTTAAGCGGAATTTACGATGTGGGAAGCATATAAGACGAGTAGCCTATAGGCCCATACATATGTCCATAGTCCAGGGCAACGGAGGGGTTTACCCTGGGGCCGTGTCACCCCTCCTGCTGTGTAGGAACTTACAAGGGGGTTACCAAAGGGCTACCGGGGGTTGAAGATGGGTAACCCATGGGTTACTGACCCAATCAGTGCCTTAGGGCTGACCTTAGGCCAGACTTTCGCAGGCATGAAAACAAAGCCTTTACACAAGAATGTCTGTATGCTGCTCCTGTCCTGCCACTGACTACAGAATCGGGCAACGCTATCTGAACCCAGAGGAGTACCATGAACATCTTCGCAGTTTGGCTTCTAATAAAGCACAGAACCCCGCACGAATCCCGCGAGGGCGGCAGTTGGTGGGAAACTGAGTGTGTTTTGTTGTGGGTGAGTTTAGTTGGGTATGTTGGTGGGTGAGTACAGATGAGTGTTAGGTTGTGAGGGGTGCCTGGTGAGAAGGGGATGTGGAAAGAGGGTCAGTGGCAGGGTTGAATATGTGAACGTGGCGCAGGGATTCAGGCATAAAAATACATGAAACTGTTGCTTATTTCATGGATGATTGAAACGATTTGAAGAAGGCATCGGGCATCATCATCATCATCATCACTGATGACACGCAAGAATGTGTTCACAATGAATGGAACAGCGTGGGTTGTAAGTGACTTGTAAGGCTCAGGAGGGACTGGCATGTGCCTCCATGCTGCTAAGGACATATGAGAGGTAGAAGGGCTTTCATGACAGCAATCGTTTGAGGTTGTGTGTAACACGTTTGCACGGTTATGGTAATGTAATAAGTTGGCGTCAAAGGTGTAGTGCATGTACCTATTACCTCATGTTGATTTTCTGGCAGTTCAAGGAGGATACAAATGTCCGGTTATGGTGTTCAGTGATGAGCATTAATTAGTACACCTTTGCCGTGAAGCACTGCTTTGGTAACATTCAGCAGTTGAGCTGCTGCATGGGGCATGCATGTCCCAGC